TATTTCGGAAAAACACAAACAAACTATTTCGCAAGTGATTTCATTCTAGATCCTGTGCTCTTTGACGTATTGGTTGGATGTGCCAATTTTGTTGTACGACAGCGTGTACGATATGCCCTATTCCCGACACTTAGCACCTCACTGCTCAGCCATTATTTAGGCGAAAGCCACCGGCTTGTTTAATAATTGTCGTCGCACTGTTGTCAGCTTCCCATGACTTTAACGTCGCTAAAATTTGAAAAACTTCCGAAATCACCAATGTTACCGCCCGCTTGCAACACTGGACTTTGTCTCAAGGTGCCCCAGGCTGAAGCACACAGAAATGCCGCGAACGAGGGATCCCCCACTAGCCAACTCGTTGTACACTTGCCCGCACCCAAATCGCGTCAAACTCGCGTCGAATTTGCAAAAACTCGCAAGAACTCGTGCAAACTCGCGGAAATTTGCGAAAACTCGCGCTAAATCTGCGAAAAATAGCGCAAAACTCCTCAAAAATTGATGACAACTCGTGCCTTACTCGCGGCAACTCGTCAACTCGCCAACTCGTTGTACACCTATTTTGGAAGTGGGGGACCCTACAGCCGCCAAGCACCTGGAGACAAAGTTCAGAGCTGCACTAAAGATATCTTTCTCACAAAACGGTTATAAAATATTCTCAAAAACAAAGCAGATTGGTGTAGTACAAAGTTGTGGCTTTCTTCTCGACCCGAGCGCTAAAGTCTAACTTCATTTACTCCCGAGTTACAATGATAAATATGTCAAAATGTTTCCAGTTGCCTCACCCTCTCTACGCTTTTCTTTTATATGCAAAACAAACAAACCAATCTAGCAAATTACTAAGAATTGCCAAATCTATTCATCACAACATTCACACAACATAAACATCAATAAGAAATGAACATTAAGTTAAGGTTTTATGAACAATTTTCGTTTGCCTCCCTCGATATCAAAATACAGGCATCGTGCTCCTATAATTTTCTTCCAAATCACGTTAGCCATAAGACCAAACAAAGATCAACCTTCATCAAAACGTGCCGACGTGGTACAGGCCGGTTTTCAATGCGTCAACGCTAGCGTGACAGCCGGCGATGTCGTGGTACACTGGTGAAGCTGCGAGAGGACGCCGCCGCAGTCTACATGATGATAGAACACAAGAAGAAAAAAAGACTCTCGTTGCGCGCTCACGACGCCTACAGCGTCCAGACTGCGCAGGGGCTCCGATTCGACAAAGTAAAACGTATCGGCGAGCCTTCCCATCAGCTAAACTTGCCGACAGGATCATCTTTGAGATCGGTAACACCTGCTCCACACCATTAGACTTCTCTTCAGACCAAATGTTCCGAAGTCACCTTCAACAAAAGTTGCCGACGTGGTGCAGTCTGGTTCACGAAGGGTCCTCGCTAGCGTGACAGCCGGCGATGTCTTGGTACGCTGGTGAAGCTGCGAGAGGACGCCGCCGCCGTCTCCATGATGATGGTGCCCAAGACGAAAATGGGACAGGCGTTGCACGCTCACGACGCCTACAGCGTCCAGACGGCGCAGGCCCTCCGCTTTGACAAAGTAACACGAATCGGCCAGCATTCCCATCAGCTAGACTTGCCGACAGGATCATCTTCGAGATCCGGAACACATGCACCGCACCACAAAACTTTTCTAAACAAACTCTTAACACTTCTGTGCGGACGCGGGGCAAGCAGCTCATCGCTGGCACGGCTCGGAAGGTACATGGCTTGAAGTCCACGTCGCTGGTGAAGGTGACGAGGTGGATGACGTCATTCGAAGCAGCTAAGACGTCCCGTCCAAGACTGAAACAAATTGACGCAAAGCCTAAATTTGTCAAAATGAAAGGCGTCATGAATCTATACAGTGGTGGCGGCGCGGGCATTAGGCGACACACTACAGTGAACCTGCGGGCGATTGCGCCACTTCCTAGGGCAAGTCAACAGCTACTGTGCAGGCAACACGACCGCACGAAAGCTTTTGCGTTGCCTACCTCCCAGGCGTTGGTGGTGCTCCACGAGCCCAACGGCGATGGCCGGCGCAAACGCACAAAACAGGAAAGGAGGTCGAGAAACACAGCAAGGCGGCGAAAAATATCAAGTCTACGGCGGCGGCATAAACGATGAGGAAAGTAAGGCCGTTGTGTAGCTACAGAAAAGGCAAAAACACGTCGTCGATTTCAAAGGATTCAAAAAAGCCAAACATTTGAAGTCACGGTTCATTCGGGCGCTACATTCTACTACTCCACCTTCGATTTGGGAACAAGCTCGATGAAATGCAGAAAAACGTCCACGAAATGAGAAAGCTGGACGACACGCCACACTTTGTCAAAGCGGAAGGCCTGCACAATCTGGACGATGATGGAGCCGTAAGCGTCAAGATAGACACTTCTGTGGGGACGCGGGGGATGCAGCTTATCCCTCGCACGGCTCAGAAGATTCATGGCGTGAAGTGTAGGGCGCTGATGAAGGCGACGAGGTGGTGACATGATTCTGCAGCAGCCAGTGAACCCCGTCCAAGACTGAAACAAATTGACGCAAAGCCTCAATTTGTCAAAACAAAAGGCTTCAAGCATCTAGACTATGGTGGCGGCGCGGGCGTTAAGCGACAAACTACTATGAAGCTGCAGGTTAATGCGACCCTTCCTAGCAAAAGTCGACAGCTAGCGCGCAGGCAACACAGCCGCACAAAAGCTTTTGCGTTGCCTACCTCCCAGGCGTTGGTGGTGCTCCACGAGACCAACTGCGATGGCCGGCGCAAACGCACAGAACGGAAAGGAGGTCGAAAAACACACCAAGGCGGCGAACGGCATGAAGTCCATGACGGCGGCAGAAACGATGAGGAGAGTATGGCCGTTGTGTAAGCACAGGAAAAGCTACAGGAAAGGCAAAAGCACGGCATTGATTACAAACGATTTGTAAAGGCTGGGCCATTAAAGTCAAGGTTGATTCTGGCGCTAAATTTTACCACCCCACCTTCTATTTGGGAACAAGCTCGAAGAAATCCAGGATGGCGTCCAGAAAATGAGGAAACTGGACGACACGCCACACTTTGTCAAAGCGGAAGGCTTGCACAATCTGGACGATGGTGAAGACGTAAGCGTCAAGATAAACACTTCTGTGGGGACGCGGAGGATGCAGCTTATTCCTGGCACGGCTCGGAATTTACGTTGCGTGAAGTCCACTGCGCCGATGAGGGCGACGTGGTGGATGAAGTGATCAAGATCCGCCCAAGACTAAAACAAATTGACGCAAAGCCTCAAATTTGTAAAATCGAAAGCTAACGCGCAAAAAACACCGCCGGACAAAAGTCTCGCCGTTGCCTACCTCCCATGCGTTGGTGGTGCTCCACGAGCCCAACGGCGACGGCCGGCGCAAACGCACGGAAAGGAAAGGAGGACCAGGACGCTGTAGGCGTCGTGAGCGTGCAGCGGCAGTCACTCTCTCCTGTCGGGCACCATCACCAACAGTACGGCGGCGGCGGCGCCAGGCGCACTCCTGCATCTTGTCCAGACATCGGCCGCCGTCACGGTAGCGATGACGTTTAGGGAACCGGTTTGCACAACGTCAGCTAACGCTTGGTGAAGATGGCTTCCACCTTCTGTGATGAATAATATAGCCAAAGTGATTTGGAAAAAAATCATAAACTACGT